AAAAATGCAATAAAAATACAGATGCAGTGGAACAGAGCCTAAGATTTCAATATACAAAATTTTAAAACTGCAGGTCTAATTTTAGTTGAAGTTATGTCCCATCCTATGCCATTTAATGCCTGTAGAGGGCAGTCTTAACCTGGTGCTGAAAATATAACAAAGTTGATCCCAGGTGATAAGCTTCAGTCCATAATTGAGGATCCTGCCCTTCAAGGGGGGGCCTTCCTTTAGTCACCACCCTTTGATCCTTTCCTGGAGGTGGAACTTGGAGAAAGGCTTCAGATGCAGGTTGCAGCATCCAGACCGATTCAGGTTGGGAGAGGTGTTCCCTCAGGTATTGCAGACTAAGGTCATGCTGGGCATCATAGATTAAAAGCAGCACCTTGAATTGAGCTTGGAAGCAGGTAGCCAGTACAGGGGGCTTTATATGCCCAGACCTTATCCCTGTTACTGGTCTGGCTTCCACATTTTGCACAAGCTGCAGCTCCTGAACAGTCTTCCAGTCCATGAACCCATGCAGAGTTCATTGCAGCAGTCTAGCTCGGAGGTTACAGTGCCTTACTGAAGGATTCGCCTCTCTTTGAATATTCTGTGGCTTGCAGTGGAATTAAAAGGATGTAGTTGGCATTGTTGCCATTGTGTGTGTACACAATACTCAAATCTTTGAAGATGCAAGTTATTTTTTCCTGTGGCACAAGAGTAAACTGACATTTGTTGGTCACATAACTATGGGATATTTTTATTGCCTGACTCTGATCCTGCATAACTTTATCCTAGCGTTGTGGACTGCATGATGCTGTTTGTTTAGGTAGTTTAAGCAACTCTGAGGCTGAAGCAGATGCATTTAATCTGAGACTGAGTGGTACTGAAATTGCACATGGGGGGACCCCATTCGCCTGTTTGTGACTGCTGCAGGTAGCAGGTTGCATCACAGATAATTTGGGCACCTTGTAGGTGCCAGTGAAGGTTTAAGGGCAATGATAAAATTATTTTGCACCTTCAGTGTTGTGCATCCACGGTGCATGAAGTAACAGTGACAATTCCAGGCTGAATGCAGCAAAATGTAGAAGAGTCAAGGGGAGGTAAAAACAAACGGAAGGCGCTGCACCAGAGTGCAGATGACTGAATCGAGGCTTTCCTTGCCCAGACAGGTGTAATCGGAGGTTGAGGGCACCCTGAGCCACTGATGCCATTTGATCCTCAAGTGACAAAAGATGGCTCCAGGAGCCCCTGAAAACTGGGAACCTGCTGTTTTAGCAGACATCCCACTCTTCTAGAGGGGGTCGCACAGCTTCTAGCTGGCCCACTAGTAGACTCTCAAGTCTTATCTAGATTAAGCCAGGCACTGATTCAGTGCATCCTCAGCCTCCCGTGGTGGAGGGGAAATAGATCTGTGTGTCATTAACAGGCTGATGGCAGCATACGCCAAATCTCCAGGTGGGCCCAGTCTGCAGTTTGGTGTGGATGGGAATAGCCTGGGGGGAAAGGACCTGCCCCAGAGGAATGCCATGCCAGCAAATCTGTGGAGTCAAGCGACATTTCTCAAGCACCTGCTCTGGAGTCAGCCACCCAAGTAGAAACTGAGCCACTGCAATGCAGTTCCATCCACTCACAGCTCAGTCGTTTGCAGTGAATACTATGGTTGATGATGCTGGAAGCTGCCGAGACAACCACAAGTGTCCTCAAAGTCACAGTCCTCCATCTCTCTCCCAGTGTCCATATTCACGTAGGGCTACTCAAGCTCTTTCCATGCCAAAACCTGGCCTGAATCCTGACTCTAGTGGATCCCAATAATCTGTCTCATCTTCCCTGTTTGCCCACCTAGATCTCTGTTATACATTGACCACCTCACCTGCTGTTAGATCATGCATGAAGGAGGTCTTGTTCTGTACTGTACACTTGGAAGCATGATCTGGGGATGTGAGGGCAAGCTGAGAGGGAAACCACCAAATCTGTGTTGCAAGAGGACCGGAACGTGTTAACTGTCTGGTCCGTGTCCCCCTCATCTGGCTAGTCTTCCCCCCAGTGGCATATTTCCCTCTTTCTGTCACTCTACTCAACAGCTTCCCTGCCACCAGTTGGCCTCCTATCCTCCCTTGCAGGCATGCATTCAGGCCTTAACAAGGGAACCAGCCCCCCTGCCCAGTTAAAATTTCTCGAATTTAAAATTTCCACTGTTGAGGAAGGGAGCTTTATTGGTCCACAAGAAAAGAGCCCATTGGTCTCTTGCTTCAGGCCCTCATTTCCAGCAAGCTAGAGGCCTGACATCTCTTCAAGAGGGCAAAGACAGTTGCCCACTGCTGATCCCCAGCTGTCTCCTTGTTCTCCCTTGAAGTCCCAGGTGAATACTTGAGTCTTTCCCCTAAGCAGGTGCTATTGCTGCCACCCCTTCCACTGCCCCCAGTTTCTTTGTTTTATTGCCCTGCGGCAAGGACCACTCTGTTACCCACTGGAAGACCAACAGAGAAGAAGTTAGAGAACATCCCCATGGATTGTTTGACAAAGAACTAAGCCAGCATGATAATGAATTTGCAGAAAATGAAAAGCTACAAAGTTTTAATGATGCTCTCAGAACAACTAGAAAGTAGAGGTTTTTAATAATAAAATGTAATCTAACCCACCATCTCAAAAGGAAGCTTAAGCATTAACAAAGATGCAACTTTTCAGCCTTGCACTTTTACCTGAAAGGGTGTATTTTCCATCTGCCTGTTTGGCACAAAATGGGCTATATTGTGACACACATTTTCTTGGAGTTGAGTGTGTGTGTGTGTGTGTGTGCACGTGTACATTTAAAAGCCACTCCCATCAAGGGAAAGTAAAAATCTTGCCAGCTAGCATCTTCCAAAGTGTATTGGTGCCACATGGCAGAAAGAAGAGAGTTTAACACACACTGCATGTAAAATGTGTTTATTTTCAGTGGTAAATGTTTCAATAGAAAACATTGTAAAAGTTGCCATCATTGTGGTAGGTTGAAATAGCAGTATTCTGATAATTATTTTTTACTATTTGTGAAGTGGTTTTGAGTCTTAACATTGCTCATCTTTTCAGCCCTTTGAAAATTGAGTAAGGCAATGTTCCTTTTAAAAAACAAACAAACCTAGAGTGTTAGAGAGGGAGCCCTAAAAGTTGGCTGGCTCTAATCCCCGGACCTGATCTCTCCTGTGTAATACTGAGATTTCTAAAGCGAGAACCTTGGATAACTTGTGCATTTGCCCCAGGCTGGGTCCCCTGTCCAACACCTGCATTAAAATGGATTTCAGAGTCTTGCTTGGATTTGAAGTATGTCTCAGGATAAAATTCAAACAACCATTTTAAGTGTTGACTTAGGTGTTGACTTCTACAATCACCAAGTCTTGGAAGCAGACTGAAATGATGATTCTGGGGAGAGTTCTTACTAAAAGAAGTATTAATCAGCCACCACGGTTCCAACAGCTGTAGACTTGTGGGCTGTAATAAAAAGGAGCTTTCTCTAATGTCTGCCCTTCAGCCCACCAAGCCCTTCAGAGAAACATGGGCTGCTTTAACTGTCACAAGAAAAAGCTGCAGATCTTTCTCACACTGGAACTAATTCTTGCCTGTATGTCATCTCATCAAATCTGCTTGAATGTATAGTTATGAGAAGGTTTTTGTTGCTGCTGTTGTTGCAAAATCAAGAGGCTACTTAGAGTTGTCTTAACTTTTCCAGGGCTGTTGATGTTGCTTCCTGGCCCCATTAGCTTTCCTACCAGGTAATGTTCGCATTTGTTGGGTGAATTCATTCTCAGCAGCCAAAAATACATTTTTTTGGTATTGCTTGCCAATGAAAACATGCTGCCTCCATAAAGACATGGTGTGTATGTCTGTGTATTTGCCACATGGTCTCCCTTGCCCCCCAAAATAAATCCCATTGATTTCAGTGTGATCCATTTACAAGCAATTATGCTCAGCATCATGGCCATTGTGCTTCTAGTCCCCTAAGATGTACTGAAGTTGGCATTTAGTATTCTATCTGCTCACGGTATCTGTGGAACAGAGAAGACAATGTCCTAACCTGCTTGGGATGCCAAGTTGTGAGCAGGCTGCATGCATTATAATCAGTGGGACTTAATGATGTGAGTCCCAAGTGTGAGAGATGTTGGCGTGCTGCAGTTGAATTCCCCGGGGTAGAGCTACCCCACTGTCTGAAAGGTAGTTATGACCGTATTAGGAGTGTGTCCCAGTATGAGTTCTTAATACTGTAGCAACAGGCTATTCAATGTGAGGAGCTTTGCATAGGCAAACCCCACTGGTTAGAAGAGACCACCCCTAGAATTGGCCTTGTGGTTGCACATTTCAACTGTTTTATGGCAAACCAACATTGATTACGTGTTGCCATAGCACTGAAAAGTAAAAGGCAAGCCTTCTGCACCAGCAGTTAGGTTGTGGAATAAGAGCTGTCATTTGGAGTGCAATGGATATATGGCACCCTTTTAATTGCCACCACATTGCAAACCTGTACACCTATGCTAGAAAATGGATCAGGAGGGGATGTAAATCATAAATGCGACTAAATAAAAAGGCAGTAACAAAATTGTGATGAGCTCTGTTGTATAGCCATTACAGTGTCTAGGTTGCAGGTGGTTATGGGTTGACACAATCCTAAAGGATTATCTGCATTTGCTAGGATTCCTGTTCCACACCAATCTGTCATGTTTAAAAGGAAGGCATATACAGCAATCTTCACATAGTCTAAGATTGTAACTTAGATGCCTTAGAAGATGTGACCTTGTTGTACTGTAGGCTTGACCTAAATTTTCTGCCCTTTTCTAGAACTTAGGAAAAGTGTAGTCTTTTAGTCTCACAGAGAACAGCAGCCTTTTAGGAGCCTAGGGCTATTCAGGCATTAGAAATCTGAGGTCATTAAATGCAAACTAGCTCCAGCCTCCCAATTGTTTCCTTTTACCTGTGGAGGATGACTTTCTGGGGAGCTGAGCCATGGTCCCTGATTCTTCCAGGGTTTCAAATCATGTGGATAGACTCCACAAATTGCAGGGTGTTTTTGCTCCAGAAAGTTGTTTTCCGCATGTAGGGGTTGCCAGAAACCATGATGGAGGGCGTATGGATAGCAGGGACTCCCTTGTGTGTTTCCTGAACTCGTAATTCCTGATGCTTGAATAGGTGTCCCCCCCCCCCCAATCCCCTAGAAATTGGGTTCCAATCCACAGAATCAGAAAGATATTTAAAAACAAGAAAGCTTACACCACCAATACAAGCATAATGAAAAACACGCTTTTCCACACACAACGACACTGAAGTTTTTCTACATGAGGCATTTATTGTGTGCCCATCATTCCCTATTCATCCTAATTCATGGGTCCTTTAAATGACATTATGACCCTCTACTTAAAGGAAGCAATAGAGAATGGTTTTTTTCATGTGTGTACTTGTGCTGTTCCTCTCTACCACACTGGCACGTAGAGGTTATGTAGCAGAAAAGGAAAGAATGTTGCATCTCAGTTTGGGAATCAACAGCCTCATGTAGAAAAGCTCTGCATGTCAGAACAACTAATCTGTGAAGTATCCTATAGTCTTGTTTTCAAAAGTTAAGGTTCTGTTCCAAGACTGTCTATGCATTCATTGTCCCAAGGAACAACAGTATCCGGCCCATGTTAAAAGTGGCAAAACGTGGCTTTGTTTTTCCTGACTGGAAAACAAAATAATGACCCTCATCATTTTTATGATGAAGTTTATCAAAAAATTAAAAACAACTCTGTATTGTTAAAAAGTAGTCAATAATGAGTTAAACAGGAAATACCAAGGACTGGTAGATATAACCAAACCAAAGCTAAGTTTGTACTAAAATAAAGCTGTGTAATAATAGCCTGGTCAATCCAGTCTGTTTCTTTTCTTTTCTTTTTTTTGTTTTTGTTTTTGTCTTGTTTTAGAAAAAAATGGTGTGAGGAAGATTTCATCTACTACAATGTAATATTAAAATATGCAACTCATTGTGTTTTTTTGTTCAGAGAACCATTGACTACCATCAGGTAGTCTTTATGGAATCCGTTCTTGAGTTCAGTCATCTGAGGGACCTCTTTTATGTCAGTTCTTGATGGTCTTTTCTGATAGGTCTGGAGGGAGAAACAACACAGAACATAACATTAGGACTGTCCCTCTCTTACACAACAATGAATGCTTGCCTTCAGCATTAAACAGATAGGCCACTGTTAAATATTTAACAAGTTTTCTATAGGAGGCCTTGGCATCTGTGGATTCTTCAGCAGTTCTTACTCCCAAGGTGCTTTTAGGTATCCTCCTAAGCCCCTGTTTGCAACTGCATCAAGCCAAAGCTGGTTTGAGGAATAATTTAATATATAGAAGCAGCACAGAGAAAGGGGTCACGCAGCCCCATCCCACTCTCGTTTCTCTGCTCAAACTCATCTCTTCATAAAGTGGCTTTTCTTGGGCATGGAGGGCAGTGGAGGTGACATGGATTGTGAGAGTATAGCTGATTTAGTAGGCATTTCTCCATGGGCTGAGGAATTTTAAAGGGTTAATTCACTTCCTTTAAAGTGATAGTCTCAGTATGAAATACCAAGTGAAAGCAACTGAACATACAATGGAATAGAGCTGGATCCAGATTTAGGCTTAGAAGACCCAACAAAATCAATGGGGCAGGTTAGTCATAGCTAATTTAAATCCCATTAATTTCAGTGGGTCTACTCGAAGCATAATTAAGTTGGGATTCAACCCATGATTAAGAATTGGAGAGACTTGAGTAAATAAAAAATAGGAGCTGTATCAAGTGAACATAGAGTTTATAATTATTTTGGAGTAACAAATTGAATTTATGAGGTAGCCTGGATAAAGTATGTTTACCTAAAATCCTCGGGTCAAAAGGTTATTTAAAGGACAATTTTAATGAGCTAGGTCAGATGTTTATCTGAATTTATTGCATGGTAAATTAATCATTTAGGGTCAAAAGTATGTTTAAACTTTTGCTTATCAGTTAATGGACTTTTTTTGGAGTTATGGAATGTAAACACTATAAACTTTGTTTAAAAAGGCTGACATATTTATGATAAGAAAACAGTAAAAATGAACTCACATCTAGAAAAATACATACATGAATGATAAAGACCATCCAATCATTAGAAAAACAGTAACTTTAAGAAGGGCACTGTCTTGCTCAGTTTTCTCAGAGCTGCATTTTAATGCTGAATTTGTAGAACAAAAGATAGGAAACTTCAAGCTTAAATCCAAGTCATCACTTCTAATGCCTAGAGCCAGAGTCTTTACTCCTTACCACAGAAGGATGTAGGAAGCTTCTGCAAATGTTTGAATGCAAACTCCAATCTCAGCAGCAAATACACTGAAGCAAAGTCCCAGATAATGAAGAACAAAGAGGAAGTGGGTGGAAGTGGTCACTACAAAACACATTTAGAGGTGAGGAGTTCTCCTTTACTGGGAGCATTTCAGCAGATGCTGGAGAGCCAGCTGTCACAGATTTCATAGCTGCATCCGGCACTATAGAGCCAGTATTGAGCAAGGGGCTCAGTAAGCCCCCTCCCACTCTAAAATTTTGGATTAAGGAAGATGCTTTGCTAGTGGAATGCATATAGTGCTCAAAGTGGTGACAGTGATTGAATTATACCAGTAGCTATTTGAAACCAGTATTGAGGAAAAAAATACTTTGGGTGTGTCAAGACAAAATGAGCAAAAGCTCTGCCATAATATGGCTGCTAAAAGCCTGACACAGCTTAAGACTTAAAATGGGATTCTTGATCTGCTCTGTTACAAGTTTTGCTTCCTGGCATACCTTAGAAATGCTACCATCCCTGTCCTGAAAAGCCCGTCCTTTCCTTTCCTGAAGGTTCTTCTCTCTGTCTTGTACTGAACCCTATTGTTTTACCCTGACATGCCTTCAGCACGACCTACTTGATCCACCACCCCTCCTCCAAACTGGGGATGATAGGTTATAAAATCATCTTATACAGACTCCACCTTGATAGTTCCCCCTGGGGGCTGCCCACATGTGCATTTATTTTCCTGTATGCCTGAATAAACTGTAAATGTTCTTTTGATTGTACACCCCCAGTGGAAACTTAAAGAGTTTTTTCCCACTGCTGTCAGGTGCAATATGCTAGGTGGCCTTTTTCCCTGTAAGATGAATTCACAAGAGGGCATTTCTGCTATTTTTCACTGTCATTTGGTTGTTGGGGACGTCTGAAATAGCACTGTTAGCAGTTAGCGAGGGTGCTTGTGGTGGTAAGTACCAAGTGAGGGAAACGAATGGTCAAATGCATGGAGGATAAAGCTTACTAGTCTGGCTGGCTATATGGCACCTCCAGCATCGGAGGTGGTGTGCACCAGCTGCTGGGGAACATGGTGGCGGGAAGCTGCTGTTGCATTTGTGTCCTGCTTGTGGGATTCTGTGAGCAGCTGATGAGCCATTGTATGAGCAAAATGCTCTCCTGGATGGATCCTGTGTCTGATCCAGCAGGGTTCTTATGAAGCACATAAGATACACCTAAGTGCAGAACAACTGCTCTGCTGAACTTTGCAATTAATTTAGAGCATTTCGTAGCCAGGCTCCCACACAATTGTTCCACACACATTCCCAGCAGCATCTTTTCCCATTTAATTGCTGCTATGCAGGAAAGTCCTTCATCTAATCCGTTTTTTCAACAAGGCTTTTCTCTATGATCAAATGCTGTATGTTCCAACAAATGTATTTTACCCCTTTAGGAGCGACTTTTGCAATCTTTAGTAGTGTAACATCTCTTTTCCATTTATAGGATTCAAGAAATTAACCATACTGCTGTTCATCCATGCCCCCTTTAGAAAAAGATACAGGCTGAACTGTACCCAAAATAAGTTTGTTTGTTTGTTTTTTTTTAAGGAAGGTTGATAAAGTAATTGCAAGGGTGCAGGCAGTTCTCCTTGAGTTCTGTGCCGCTCCTTTCTTGAAATAGTGCAGGTTCAGCATTCCAGTGCTAGATCTGCAGAGCATGGAAATGAACAGCGGAGCTTTACAATAGCACTGAGTGTGCAGAACAACATTTTCCCAGATTTAAACAAAGCAAAACATAACAGTGTAGCATTGAGTACCAGAAGAATGCAAGAAACATCAGTGTAACAGAAGGGACACAGCCTTGGAAAAAAGGACCATGAGAAACAAATCCCCAACCAATGACACTTATTAAGCAAAAAACTGATCTTGAAGGACTTCCAAACCTTTCATTTATCTTCCTCCGCTGCAATTAAAGTTGACACAATCTGACCCCTTGTGAACATGGCCAGAAGAAGGATTGATAAAGCTTATCCTGGTTTCCACATGCTGGCCCTGATTCTCCAGGAAAGGCTTACCCAGATAAAGCTAATACAAAATTTCAGGCTGCAGCAGGAACAAGTCTTTTGTAAAGCTAATGGATTTTAATTGCCTGTTTACATCCAAGTCCAGACAGAAGACTTGGGGTGTTGCTGGGGAAGTTCATTTCCCTCCAACCACTGTGAGGACTGCAGCAAAACTCAGAGAGAACAGGGGGTTCTTAGCAGGGTCGCAGAAGATAGTAGCTTCCCTGCTAAGGAAGAAAGGCCAGGGCTGCTTAGTCTCACTGCCGGTGCCTCATTGCTTTTGACATGGCTGAGAGAGCATGTTCCCATAGGAGCTGCTAGTTGGTTGCAGCCAAAACTGAATTGCAACCACGCAAGTACCCGTTTTTCCTATATTTCCTGCCTGCTTGCTAAAGCTTAGTTATCTGCACTGTATAGTATGGTGTTTACTAGATTCTATTCTATTATTGTCTTATTTGGTGGGGACAAGTGCCTCTTTGTTTCTGTACACGATTTAGTGCTTGTGAAGTTTGATTTTGCTGTCACATTTCCCCCGTATTTCTTAGGAATTGAAGGCATGTGAGCTTGCAACAAAGACTCTTACCATTGCAGAATTGGATACTTAATAGACACATTATCACTCCGCAGTGAATGCTGCATAATTGCTGACTAGGATTGCATTAACTGTTTATTAGTAAGAGACTTGGTGTTCTTTTTAGTGGCAGGGGTGGATAAAAACCACCACTGACTCCATTAAAATGGGAAGATCATTCTTCAAGATCAATCACTCTTGCCTATAAGATCCCTCTTATGCATATAAGCAGACAATACGTTTGCTGAGGGAAGTGCTTGTTTGTTCTTGAAAAAATCTGTTTCTGTTCAACTTACCTTAATATAAAAGTTAACAAACAGAATGACCAGTGTGGCCATGTATGAGGACTGGAAGATCAGGCAACCAAATGGAAAACCGCACGGTTTCACGACTGCACTGAGCGTGTGCGTAATGGTAAGCAAAAACTGGATCTGTGGAAGAAAGACATATTTTTTGTGACAGCAGCAGGATTAGACCTTTCTCAGGTTTAACGTTCACTGTCTATTTCACATCTGATAATTTCATCTGCATATTCTCCTGTGAGACACACATTTTTAGCCAGGCTCTTAATGAATGTTAAAAGCAGAGTCCCTTCCCCCAGACAGACATTTTCCCAGATACGAAAGTCAGCTAGTATGAATAATAGTTTGAGGGTGGCTTGTTGTGATAGTAGCAGGTGTTGTGGATGCTGCCCAGTGTCGACACTCTGGTAGCAACTTTCTAACAAAACCATGGTCACGACTACTGTAGGGATCATCTACATGCTTTCTTGCCCTGGCAAATTGCTTTAAAGACGCATCCCCAACCGGGTGCCCTTTGAACTTCAGCTCCGGCAACCAGCAAAGACATCTCTAGAGGGTGAGTGAAATTCAGATGTGGCTAAGGGAGGGATCCTGTGCTTGTTCAGAGAGAAAAAGCCCTACAACTTTCAGCATGGCTGGCTCAGGCATTCTGAAAATTGTAGGCCCTTTTTCTGTCTAAACATGCATAGACTGTGCTGTAATTCTAGTTATTCACACTTTTGGAAATGCATATTAAAGGCATCCTAAACAACTGTCCATGTATGTATAAGAACAGATGTTTCTTCCTCCATTTGTCTTAATTTCAAAGTGCTAGGCTTATTACTTAAAATTTTCATTCTTTAGATTGTAGCTATTAGGAATGAAGAAAGATGCAAGTGTACCAGTTGTGCCTGAGTAAGGTATTTCTTCCACCAAAGATACTTGCGCATGGATGGGATGACAGACAGTCCGTAGTAGGAGTACATGAGGACGTGGATAAAACTATTCAAGGTGGGTCCAAAGAAACCTGTTTTGATTGAAATAAACATGTTGTAACTTTTCTACAAAGAGCTTGTTTCTGAGAATTGATGTTACAGCTCACTGCAGTCTGAGGCACTGCAGTGTTCGGTCAAAGCACAGAACCATTCTTAACGTGACACTAACTATTACAGAGAGATGCTTCTATAGGTTTATGTTGCTTCCCTTTTTGTGAACTATAGTGATTTCTGCCTGCCTAGCCAAAGGGAAAGTGTTTTCAAAAGAGAAAATCCTGAAAAGTTTGACTCACAGATAGGGGATAATTAATTGGACTGAGCCAGAGAAAAGTCCCACTGCCCATGTTCAAATTGGACATCCATTTTGGAAGTTTGTGGCCTGGCAAACCCAACAACCAGAGACAGCATAGACCCAGTGCCATTCTGGTTTCTCTTCAGCTCAAATGGCGAGTGATAAGGCTCATTTTCTCACTGGGAAAGTAAATTACTCTGTGCTTTTGGTTGCTGCCTTTTCAGCCACCAGTCAAATAGAAAAGACTTTGATACAGTGCTAACCAAGCAGTAGGCCACTGGTGAGATTAGGACCCCATCGTTAGGAATGTGCCAAAGTGCTCTACTATATTTTTTCTCTGACAAATATGTTAACACAGAGGAAGGTGGCAATTCAGTAGCTACTGTTGCCAGGTGTTTAGCTTAGATTCAGAACGGACCACCTCACTCAGGTATTTCTCACCCTGGTGCCTTCCAGAAGTGTTGGACTGCAGGTCCTATCAATTCCAATCCAGCATGGCATTTGGCATTCTTCAGGGAAGGCTTGCTACCTGCTTGCCCCCCCCCCCCCACCCCGTTTCACTAGACGTGTATTTTATCTCTGCACTTCCAAATACTCACTTTGTCCACAAGGGATCCAATTCATGACACACCACCAGATGTTAAACATAGTGGCGTGATGATAAACGTGAAGGAAGGTAATTTGGCTGTTTTTCTTCCGCAGCACAAAGAAAATTGTGTCAGCAAATTCAATGACTTTGGAAAAGTAATACCACCACAGCACCTTGGCCACCTGCAAGAACAAGACAGAGAAATTAATGTCCCTTCTTGAAGTAACATGTTCGCTATCCTTAAAGAATCCTTTAGCCAGGCAAAAACTCACAGTTAAGATATTGTATTATTGCTTGAAATAAGCAAGCAACAGTAAACGCCAGGACTGAGTGCTACTCACTTCTGTAAAGAAAATCTTCCATGAATCTTCCTGATTTCAGAACAGCTTCCTCCAACATGGCGCTTGCAGATGCTTTGAACTACAACCCCTACATCCCAGACCATCAGCTGTGCTGGGCAGGGCTGATGGGAGTTGTAGTTCCAAATGATTGGATGGGGAAGGTTATTCCAGAGCTTGTGTTTCCTCCTTATCCCCTGCCCTCAGAATTAAGCCTTGTTGATTTCAGAGGTGACCAAAGCAACCAGGAAACCGCAGGCTGCAAATCAGTTCCAATGACATGTAGTGACAGAACAGGGTATCAACTTGCAAAGGTTGAGCATGGTTGTTGTTGAAGTGTAGCTTATCATGTTACCTGAACCTTGCCAAGGTGACTAACCATGGTGAACACTCGCAGTTCACAACCCGTAGATCCTCTTCATGGGTGGCCTGTGGTTCAACAAGCCCTGGTTTGTTAGCGCAGCTGGGTTCAGCCAAACGAACAGCCCATGGTTCATCAGCAACCCACACGCTACCCTTAGGTGTAGATTATCATGTTTTCTGAACCAAATTCTTGTGTTTATACCTCTTGATGGAGGTCTCTTCATGAGAGCTAAAAAACAACTACTGCATTCAGACAATTTACCTGAGTACCATTTGCTGGGGAGGCAATTGCAGAGTAAGGTGTGGCATGAAAAGAGATATCAGTGGCACGGTGCAATCTATACACGTCGTCTTAGAAACGGGCTCTGCTGGGTTGAGTTGGACCTATTCCCAGTACTGAAGCCCAAGTAGAAGAGAAGAAGCAAGACAGTTTGCAGGTCAACAGGAAAGTGAAATCGGAAGGCTACTGCAAGTTGGAAGCAGAACTGAAATCCAGTTGTGAGGGACACACAGGTGTGAGGTTTTGCTTCTATTGCAATTAGCAATTGGTAGAATTAGACTTTTGCTGTACTTACAATAAACTGGTTATACTTTTACTAGAGGCAGTGTGTGCATGAGTGCATACCCCCCATCTGTTTTCCCAGTCTTATGAACTAAGATATGCACATTATCCAGCTGTAAATGCCATTCTTTTCACCACATATGTCCTCTTCTCACATGCCTTGCATAAAGGGAGGTAACAGGATGTTTGGAAAGCCTATGCACAGGTTTTCCTTTATACCTAACACCAGGAAAAGGTACTGTGCAACTGCATTCTACGTACCTAACACATTTTTGCACATGTGAAGACTTTGGTGAACATTAATACCACAAGGATTTTTCTAAAGTTGGGATGTTGACTGCAGGGAATGTCAAAACTTGCAATGGCGAGTTTTTTTTGAAATTGAATTATGTCCTTTCAGAAACATTCATAATTTCCCTAATTTGGGCAGAAAGGTACATGCCATGGGAAGTTTTAAAGTCCTTTTAAAACTTTAGTTTTGCAAATTTAGTGGAGTATTTACCATGAAAAACATGCATCGGGTACAATCCTATACATTTAGACAGACAAAGGGCTCACAACTCCCAGTGTGCCCAGTGCGCACAACCAGGGGTTAAGTTGTACGCTTTTCTCTCTCTAAGCATGTGTAGGATTGCACCTGTAATGGACCAATTACAAAGTCAGAGCAAAGGGTAACCAGAAGTATGGCTAATCTATTTGTCTATGGAGAAAACCTTTATCAGTTGAATCTGCGAAGTTTTCTGTGGCATTCAGCCTCATGGATTTCTATCAAGTTTACTCCCAGGTTGTACAGGGGAAGAACTGATGGAAGAATCGGGCATTAAGGCAAGACTGCACCATCTTTCAGTCCCCAAGTCGCTTTTTGTGTCTTACCCGGATGTCAGCTTCTCCTGCACTGGTCAGGTTCTGACACTGCAAGTTATAACCTCCTTCCCAAGTGGCAAGAATTAGCTGGAGAAGAAAGCAAAGTCTATTATTTTGAACAAGACTCCCACTTCAATGGTTAATTATTGCTTGCACGTGGGATTTTGAAGTAAGGGTGGATAATTTTCAGCTCCACAAAGACCAATAAAATAAATCCCTGCCCCCATGGAAATGATGCCCAAGTTTCTGTTCTGCATTATTGATTTTCCAAAGCCAGCAACATTGCAGTTCTTGTGCTTCTGACTATTTATGTTTACTTTTTATACAGGTGATTATTCCAGCTTCCAGACATGACCACTGCAGTAACACTGCATTAAAATGTCCCTAATCTAGAGCTATAGCAAAGTGTGCAGTTTGAATGATGTAAATTAAAGAATTTTCACTCAAACTCGGGAATCTTAAATAGTTTGGATTTTTAACCTAAGTAGACAATTTGAAGTTGTTTCTCCAATAGCAGCATAAGATGTGCATTCAGTCCACCCAATAGTCCTAAAATCACAAGGAATAGAAGAAAAAAATCCAAAATCATGAACTAGCAAAAACTTTACAAGAAACAAAATGGGCAAATTGGTCAAGTTCTGGTTCACAGAACTTGAATTTCCACTGCTAAATTTGTTTGTACTGTCTCAGTTCCACACTTGTGCATGTGTATGTGTGCACACACGAGGGTATCACATAAAACTCTGTACATAATTTTTGTGTGAAATTTTCACTTGCATGTATTTGTGTGTACATGGCCACTGAGGTTTTTAAAATATACACATTTCATGCACATTTTCAAATATGTCCATGTTTTCAAAAGCATTTCTTTAATTTGTAAAATGCTTGGCAGACTTGGAGATGTCTCGATTTCTGACTACAAAAAGCACTTGACTGTGCATTCAATTCCAAGACATGCAATTAGTTAATCTCACATAAAAATGCAAAGCTAACAGATTTCTAATTTGCAGATGTTTGGCAGAAAACCTGTACCTTTTAAAAGTTTTTAAAGCAAGTACAAATTTGGAGTCTGTGTGCACAGGATCTTAATGCTAATGTTTAAGGGCTTATAATAATTTCTGTCTTTCATCAGCTATTTAGCTGCTGTTCCAAAGATGGAATTTATGAAGTTCACCAGGTAGTAGCATAACAAGCCTAATTGAACAAAGGTTTTTGGCTGCCAAACCTGTACATACTCGTAACTGATAGTGCGCATTAGTACTTCCTTACTCTGGCTGTTTGCCTGCACAGCTTTTCACTTGTCTTCTCCTTGCAATGATGTGGCAAATTTTCTTATTCAGAGTTGTAGGGGAAAGGACTTCTTAAGACATATTAGGAAATTTTCATTTAATATTTTGAAGTGCTGGCCATCCAAAATGCTATTTCTCTTCCCCCTTCTGTGCCTTGCAGTCTTATAGATATTTTTCTTATAAAATGAAACACTGAGTACTTAAAAGGCTGCATGTTCAGTGAATGGTAGCAAGGGGAAAATGTGGCTCTGTAATTCTCCAGAAAACCCTATGGCAGGTGTAGGCAGCCTTCTTGGGGCTGCAAGCACATATGACGATCTGAGAACCTGTCCTGGCAGCACCACAAAATGGGCATGTTACAGATGAAAGCATCATGCGGTAAGCACCTGCTATCCATTTCCTAAAGATGCTTTGGAGTCCCACACATGGGAAGAGACGAGACCAGCCAGAAATTCTCACTCTGCTTTGGAGTGCTTCTATCAGTAAGAAAAGTGAGAGGGATAAAGCACCTTGCATGTGTCAGTAAAGGTGTCCAAGAATGCACAGGTGCCTACGGTGTGCCAAGTTGTCTTTCCAAGCCTTACAGGTTTGCTTTAGGAGATAAAAGGGAGATGGGCTTTAGAGGAGACAAGACATTGATGTTCCAGTTTAGAGAACAATTAATGACAGGTCCAAAGAAGCTCTGTACAAGGGCCATCCAGTTCTGTGGAGGCTGCATAGGGACAAAATTGGGGTAATGATGAACTGCTTTCTGAAAATTGTCAGGAATTATGGTGTTTCTCCGCTAATCTTGAACTGATGAAATGGGTCATTATCTGGCACAATCTCTTTAATTCTGAAATGCGAAATGCCTGCAGCCAGAATAAGTCAGAGACTATCTGCTTGTGCCTGGATGAACACAGGAGAGACCAATGCAAAGAGCAAAGTGATGGTTGCATGTTAATATACTTGCAGGAAACTGAAGGGGCAGAGATTTCCTAGTCATTAGAACAACCTGCATATCATTTGACATGCTTACAAGGTGCTGCAAGGTCATGAAGTTTTGCAAGGAGACTGGGGGCTCTGGCTGGAAAATATAGCTTGGCAGTACCATTATAGAGCCTGATAAAGCTGAACTCTTATGACTAGCTTTGCCAAGCTTTCCTTCACTCGCTCTTTGTTCCATTTCCTATTTACCTCCACACTTGAGTTTACTGTCTGTGTTGTATGGATTTTCCTGCATTAGAATCTCTCCTGGGAGGAAGAACAAACCTTCACTTCTAAATTATCCATGTATCAGTTTTATTTATTATTTTATTTTATTTATTTAGGAAGCTTCTATGCCGCCCCATTCGCCGAAGTTTTTATTTGAATTGTTGCCAAATAGCATGCCAAAAAATCCCAGCACTGCTCATTCAAGAAATTCAAACTACTCCTTCCCTGCTAAAACCAAAGAAAATCTTGCACCCACTGAAGAGAAGCAGACCATGTGGAAACTATCAGTGATATGGCACAGATGGGGAGCATGTCAGATTGCAGTTCCCCTCAGCCCCTGCCATTGCCTGTGCTGGCTATGAATGATGCAAGTTGGGGCCCGACAGCCTCTCAAGGACCACATGTTCTCCAGCATTATAAAGCTGCAAAGCAGCACCATTCAGGAAGGCTGCCAAAGCTGCACCTTTCACACAGCCTGATAAAAAGGCATGCATAAAAATGTCCCACTATCCATCGCCAGGCCCCACCTGCTCCTTCGCGCAATGGCTTATGTGGAGGGAGCTATTCAAGTCAAGCTACCCCAGGCTGCGGAGAGTGAAGAGAACCTGAAGCTCCCACTTCCCCCAGCATAGGACATGGGTCTGTCCTGTGCCCATAGGGCACAAGCAGCCTTTGCTCATCTTTAGCCCAGCTGGGCTGCATTGCCTGCATGGCTCTCTTGCCCCATGCCGGCTCATCTCCCCAGTGCCGTGCAACTTTCTTCCTCATTCCTTCCAGGAAGGATTCCGTGACTTGAGCGCTGACCCAGTAATTGAACCTGTCTCTGTATTTCCTTCCCAGTGGATCTCTCTTCCAGCTTCCACCTAGGTCAGTTGTTCTCAGTCTTGGGTTCCTTGCTCATGCTGGTTAGGAAGCTGAGACTTGGAGGCCCAAGGTTGAGAACCACTGTTCTATGTCCTTCTGTGAGATTTCTAGCTAGTGCTGGACCTGACTGCACCTGGGGACTGAAGCACCTGTGACCCACTGCCGATTCGCAAAGCAGTGTGTGAACGGCAGTTCTAGGCCTTTGCTCTGAAACTGTCAGAAAGTGCATTAAGGGCTTTCAACATGTGCCATCATATCTGCTTCTGTAACTCTACCGGAATTACCTTTTAATGCTACAGCTGTGCTTTACTTTGCAACTGCTTCGTATCACAGCTTGTAGTACACCAGTCTAAGCACTTATGCCATAGTCTAGTATATGTTGATAAGTAAATTAAACATATCGCAACACAGTTATAGTTGATATATGTTTCATATTAGCCCCTGGATCATGGAACTGACAGAATTCTGCCTTACAGCAAAACAACCTGGTATTGTGTTTTTGGAGAGGACATGCATCCATTGAGGGGCATTCAGGAGCAAGTGGCTTCTACCCTGCAAGTACAAATGGGCTCAGCTCATAATAATAGTTTGTTACAAGCATCTATTTCTTGTCGGTTTGAATATGCACGGGTATATGAGAAAGAAAATGCTCCACAGCTGAAGCAAGCCAGACCTTGCCAGTCTATTAAAAAGGGGCAAGGGATACATTTATTGAATGGCTTAAAAGAATGCCTGCCAAAGTCAGCAGAAGGGGAAGGCAGAGCAAAGTGAACAAGCCAGAAATAGTGACTGCGAAGCAGCATGAACTCCATGATACCCTGCTAGCGAAACACTCCGTGTACCACATCTGAACACGAGCACCCAGGCCGGCGAACAGGATCTGCACTCACTGCAGGGACACAAGGATGGAGGCATCTACACCCCAGTGCCCTGGATGGATGTGGCTACTGAAGTACATCCGCAGGGGAGTGCCCTGATAATGCACAACAGGTGTGATTAGTGCCACGAATAGAAAGTTTTTTGTGAAGTTTCCAACTCTTTCTTACTGATGCTGCTTCTTTGCTTCCAAGGGTTGCCTCAGAATTTGTGGATGAGGGGTGCAAAGCCTCGGGCTCAGAGAGCAAATCAGTCCCTCTTGAGGTCCCACTCCAGGCTTTCCAGATGACTACCCCCCTTTCCCCAGCCACCCTCATTTGGAGGTGTCCTGGCTTTCATGCAGTTTTCCCCATTCTGAAAGGCTGACATGCCCTTTCCTAAAGGCTTGGTTACGAGCACTAAGAACCTCAAACCGAAACATACTGGTGCTTTTGGTAATTTGGTTCCATCCCTTTTCTCTTCAGCTCATCCCTGGAATGTAGTCTCTGAGAGATTCTCCAAAAAGGGAATTCAACCCATGGGCTCAGTTAGGATCAATAAACCCTGCTGTCGAGTTGCATTTTCAAAAATTATTTAGAGGAACATTTAGGATAAGTAAAGGGTTTGCTTAAATAGAATTCACTTGAGCTGCAGAGAAATTGGGTTAGGAGGGAACTATAGAGAGAAACAGTGCAGAAGCTAAACCAGCAAAAATGGGGGAGGTGATAAGGTCCCGTACTTCTGTTTTTTTGAAGAAGTTAGAGAACTCAATGCTCCAGGTTGAGTTCTTCACCGAAGCCTGGTTTTCTATGTAGGTTGCCTATTTTTAGATGAGCTACAGTTTAATCCATGGTTTTAGATGGGCTGCTGAGATATAATGCAGGCAGTACTTAAAGGATGCAGCTCCTGGGGCCTTGAGTACTGAACACAGGAGATTTATGGCACAGCAAGCACGCAGTGTGTGGTGGTTTTGTGTGGACCACCAGGAGGGACCACTGCTAAATGTTCCCCACCCAGAGATGGAGTGTCCTAAACAATGGTCTTCAGACACCCCAAGACTTGTCACTGATGTAATAAATGCTTAGGTAATTGTCTGCTTCCACTGAAATTCACTGCATTTGCAAGCTCCTGGGTGATTTTAACATCTTGACATCCAAGGGTTCTCTAGAGGAACAGGGTGAAATGTTTCTGGCAACCAGGTAAGAGTTTTCAAAGAAACAAAGTCCCCTTGGAGTCGAGAGGTTTTACTTCCCACATTTTTGGAGGCAGCAGTCACAGTTTAACCTGAGTAGTAACAAACAGTTTAAAAACGAACAAACAGTTTGTTAAATAGGAAGTGTTGGCTCTGACCAGGCATTATAGCTAATAAAATGACACACAGGCTAGAGGGAAATGCTAGAATGTTTTTCAGAGAATCAAATCTGGTTTTGGAATCCCCAGTACAAGGACAGAAAGCATTCTGAGCTAGGGTGTGGAGACAAGGTACATAATGCAAAGTGGGAAAGGATGGAGGATGGGTTAAGTATGCCTCTCCCACTGCGTTCCCTTCTCAACATGGGCTGGCTTTCTTCCAAAAAATGGCAATAGGATCTATGTTGCACTATTTTGTGTGTAATTAGTTAGTTTACCCCCTGGAGACAATATAGTAGAGCACTTTTTTTAACTGAGTGGCTTTAAAAGGGTGGAGACAGAAGTTGTACTTCAAAACATAGATCAGAAATGTAGACCTCTGAAGCTGAGCCCAGCAAATCCTTTCCTTCAATGTGGGGAGCCTTGAAGAGCCCCTATCTGCTGACCATTCAGATCATAGAGTATTAGTCACAGAAACAGGAGCAAAACATGCATCCTGAATAAAGAGTAAGAAAAATGGAAACTATACGCACCTAAACAGCTTAAGTAAGTGAGCCATGGTATATGCTACTGGTGAAGATAAAAAAGCACAAAATGCAAAGTAAAACCAACCAGCCAATCTGCCCTGGGCAAAACAATTCTTGCAAGTACCCATCAGTTGAATGGGATGTTTGATAGTGAAAGTGTATGGCAATTAAGACTCACCTCTATAAGCATGTAAAGTGAAAGCATTGTGACTCCAAGGTTGTAGACAATAAGAAGACCCCTGAGTGACAAAGCCAGCCTGTTCTTCATAAATGTGGTACCCAGAAATATGAACAGCAGATATACAACAGTGAGGGAAAAGGTAGGTAAATAAGAATCCAGCATAAGCCATCCTCTGACCCTGGGATCTAAAGAAACAAAGCAAAATATCCCCAAGGAATTAGTAAATTATCAGCATTTCTTGATCAATATAATCATTCATTAGGTGATCAACTCTTCTTCAGTTTCCTAGTAATGTCCCCCTCCAGTCACTGCAATCCTTGCTTTCAATGCTCTCGAAGCATGCATATATTAGTGTTGTCAACTTTTAATAACTAGTTATTAAGAATTTGATTTGCCCTTTAACTGGTAGATTAATTAATTCACTTTAATGCATTTGCACATTACCAACATTTTAATAAATCACTATATCATGTCATATCCTATCTTATCATAATATTGAAGGATGTATAAGCACTTAAGCTGCAACTCTGTGGATGCCTTACCCGGAAGTAAATCCCACTGAATTCATTTAGGCTTAGTTCTAGATGAATGTAGATAGAATAGATTGTGTTATGGGTACATTGCTACTTGTCAGCAGAAAACATCATCTTTAACAATACCTTTCATTTTCTAATATAGTAATGTAACCAATACACTTTAAAAAGGGGTAAGTCACAGGATCACTGATCAATCATCCCACCAATTATGATGTGTTATATACATATTCCATGGCTGCTGCTGGATTTAGTGACCAAATCCTGTTTGGTCTGCATGAGGGAGTGTTACATGTAGGAAAGAGTCTCCTTTAGCCACAGAGTGCATAAAATACCTGTCCTGAAGTACGTCTTTCCCTGATAGGCTTCAATTATTTCGGAAATATGGGGATGCAGTTAAGGTTAACACTATGCATGTACTAGAGCATGGGTCCTCAGACTAAGGCCCGGGGGCCGGATCCGGCCTGCCATGCCCATTTGGACCTGCTGCACCCGCTCCCATGCACACACCTGCCGCCGCCCACCTTGCCCTGTGTGAAGGGAGGCAGCGGTTTGCTCACTTGGAGAAAACGATCTCCAAGCAAGCAAGCAAGCCGCTGCCTTGTGCGCCTGCCTCCCCTTGCCGTGCGCGCCTGCCTGTTTCGCCTCGCCACATGCTCCATCCCCACCTCAGCGCATGTGCCCGCACGCACCGCCCCCGCCCCCTCACTGGCCTGCGTGCACCGCCAGCACGACCTTTCCGGCCTGCAGCTAGCACTGGCCCCTTTCAACTGGCCCCCTGCTGAAAAAGTTTGAGGACCCCTGTCCTAGAGCAATCCAAATTCTGTGTTTGCAGTGAACACTGTCACTTAAACAAACTTCTTTGTCCATTCCTGCTCCAGAGATCAGGGAAATATCCAGGATTATTCTATTTTACCTTTGCAACAGGCCTTTGAGAAAGGTTAGGCTGAAAGTTGCTAAGTGGCTGAAGAGAATTTTATAAGTAAATTGGGATGTGAATGAGGCTCTTAGCAGCAAATGCAATGCAGTACCTGCTGCATTCACAGCTTTGTATCATGCCTAAATAGGGTACAGCAACTATCACTGTAATGTGTCTAGAGACTTCAGTTAGTCCAGAATGCTGAAACCAGATCTGGGACTGGTTGCAAAGAACACATTGCAACGGCTCCACTGGGTACTCATCTGGTTCTGGACACAGTGCAAAAAGCTGGCTATGACATAAAAGACCCTGTATGACTTGGGACTGGGCTATCTGAAAGGCCACCTTCTCCCATACAAGCCTGCAAGGTTCTCAAGGTCTTCTGGAGAAGCCAACCTCACTGCCTTCAGCACCACCTTTGGTGGAGATGCCTTCCTAGAGGCCAGTTCCCAGGCTCTGCCAACTGAGGTGAGGCTGGCCACCAATGATGCTTTCATTATGAGAGGCTTTGGGCATATCCACTGGATTGTTGCAGAAGAGATTTTTAATTGGGTGGCACAGCTGATTTCTTTCATTGTGTTTTAATTGTGCTTTTAATTTATTTGATCTTATGCTCTGTTTTAATTAAGAATTTGCTTTCAGTCTAGATTATATTGTGAGCTGCCTTTATCAACATTTTCTGCAAGGAAAGGTGGATGCATGTAATGGCGGAAGGCTACACCATCTCTACATAAACCAGTCCTCTCCTATTAGTCCCCATCATTTCTGCTGGAAGGTCAGGAATGAAGAAAGCAGGAATGGGGAAAAGCAGTGATGTGATACTCTCTCCTGCTTAAGCATAACACATAAATAGGTTTTCAAACAATCTGGAAACACCCCAAGAAGGAAATTGCCCAGTTTCTCTAGCTTTGATGCCAGAAATTAAACACATCATTCTAATATTTTCTTGGCAATTACATTATTTGTGGTTTTGCTAAATATCAAGCTCAAATTCCCCAGCACAATTAAGACTGCATCATGTAATTGCTTCAGTACTTGTAGAACAAACTCACCCAGACAGTGTCACTGGCATTTAATTAAAATGCATGCTTCATATAAAGAAGCTTCCACCTAAATCAGGGTTGTTTGTTTAGCAAGGACCGTCAAACATTGAACTTGAATAGCACACATTCTACAGTCTAAACAAAGCATTAAAACCGGTACGTGTGACATAACTGTTGTTCTCAACACTTTACAAGATGTATTTCAAGCCTAGCATTTTCTGTGCTGCACGGATGTTTGCTAGGAACTCTGTGTTTTCTACTTATCCTGCAATGCATGTGTCAGATGCCAACTTAGAAAAACATGTGCTAAGTTATTCTGAAATAATTTTAACTATCTTCACTCTCTGTTTTTTTTCTGCAGAATTCTGGAGTAAGTCTGAATCGGCAGCAATAAGGAATCAGGAAAAGAGTCTGCAGACAGGTGGATTTTAGATACTAGGATTCATTTCAGGATAAGGAATGGGTTAAAGAACAGCTTGTACACAGAGGTGATCAGAGGCCAGAAGTCAGTAAGCTCACAGTAACCTGAGACTATGACTTAACATAGCAGGCAAAGCATGTGACTAACAACTTGTGATGTTGATTCATGATAATGATGGTCCTGTGGGAGTATCTAATGGTGTCACTCTGAAAACTCAAACAGTCCTAATGGATTTCTACCCAGTCTGTCTATTATGCAACTGATTGAACATTACACTTGCACAAGCACAATGAGCATTTGGTGGTGCAACCAGGTGTGGAAGCATAATGTTAAACTAGCTGCTCCAAAGTAATGGTAGTGAGGTTCTCCTCTTGTGCCTTGTTCAGAACCTGGGACAACATCATCACTGCTAGTGGAATGACACAGTTGGATCTGACGCAGGGTGGTGAAAGTGAGGAGTCATGGGTATGGATTAAGAGCTTAGATGCTGCTTTCAAACATTTCTATTTTAAAAAAGGACTCCATTCTCAGCATCTTGTCATGGGAAATTCCATCTGTCCTGGAAAGAAGCCAGGTCCCTTTATCATAACTATGTTGGAGACAGGATGCAGTTGCTCAGTGGGGAGCAAAAGGCACTCTGTACATGCTTTATTATAAGATATTGAGCTGTCTCCAATGTTAGCTCTATCTAGAGTAGATCCATTGAAATGAATGGGACTTAAGTTAGACTTAAGTAACATTGGATACAGGCCATTATTACTCTGTATCTGTTTCTCTAAAAATGGGCATGGTCAAAGATAAGAGGAATAGTGCTGAAAGGATTAAACTTTAATCATTAAAGGATGAGGAGAGGAAGGTCAAGAACAAGTCTCAGAGCAAGTACAGAAGATTTCCCACCAATATGTTCTGCTGAATCAGCAAACTCTGTTATCCATAAATGGACAGAGTTGTACCCACCAAAATGCTACTTAACAATACCAGATTAATGATGTTTTTTCCTTAGGGTTCAAGGACGTACTATCACATCCTGTTCTTCTTCATCCATCCCCTGGCAAAATACCTATATTTGTCCCCAGAAATCAGCTGGCTTGCATGCTGTTGCTTTGGCACAGCTGTAAGTGGGCGGGGAAGCCATGTAATAAAGGTAATGCATATCTTGAGAAGTTAGAACAGGGTGGCATGGAAGGGTGCTGAGTGAGTTCTTTTCTGGCTACTGTGTAAATAGCAGCCCTACAATTTGCTGGCCCTGCCCTCCGATGGGCCATTATTCAAAACAAAATGCTGCAGGTCAGGCCTCCCCCAATCTGGTGTATTTCAATTATACAGTACTGCCAACACCCTAGTAATTGATGGTGGTGGCTGAGGCTGATGGGATGTGTAATCCAAAGTATCTGGAGGGTGTGTGTTGGGAAAGCTGCTGTCACCAGACTTCCCTTCTGCTCAGTTCTTCTATTCGCATGTTCTAGCTTTGCACCTTCTTTGTCTAAAAAGCAGCTCTCAAAGTTCAGCACACAGAATTCCTCCTAACTACCATGGTTGAATTGTTTCCCTTCCATCCCACGCTGAATCCTGATGGTTACGTGGAATGTCTTGCAGAGAAGCTTTAACAGCTTTCCTTTTTTTTTTTTTTGCTTTTGCTTTTGTTTTGTTTTGTTTTTGGCGTCAACAAAGCAAATGCTTTCAGAATTGCTGCCTTCTGTGGCAGGGTTGTACAAGCCATTTGTATCAGCTTTCTTTTTCTGGAAGAGCCAATTTCTTACTGTCTACAAGCTTTCCTTTCAAAGGAGCTGACTGGCACAGGTGGCATTCATTTGACTCAAGCCCCTGGAATGGTGTTTCGGGAGCTGTAACGTTTAGCCACAGTGCACGGCCAATTCAGCACCATCGCTGCACTGAGAGGCAATCGGAAAGACAGTGGCACTCTAGGGAGCAAGACGTAGTACTATTTCCATCATTCAGAGAGGCAAGGCTGTCTAACTGTAAAGCTTTTTCATGTAAAAGGTTTTATTTGAAAAAGCACATTTTTAGCCTTTGTGCTTAAAACTGTGCAGACAAAGGCTGGCAAAAACTCAAAATCCAAGAGGGGTATTTGAATAAAATTTCTAATGACTTGCCCTAGAAAAAGAGTAAATTGTGCAAAACAATAGATAGATTCAGAATAAATTATGTAACAGTGCTGAGGTCAAAGAACTCAGCTTTTCTTGGTGTGGAATGGAATTAATCCTAAACTATCACTGCTGCTGTTCTTGTCACTGCTGTCAATGATGATGATGATGATGATGATGATGATGATGATGATGATGATGATGATGTAAAATACAGCAATCCTTCCTTTCCCCCATACTTTTCATGAACATACATCTGTATTCGGTTTGTGACAGGCAGGTTTGTGTAGTTCCCCGGAGAGGCAAACTGGGAGGCAAAGCATGTGGAAGACTGGGAAAAGCCTGGAGCAGCCTCCAGATAGGCTGAATACGAGCCTCATCACATCTCTCCCAGATGAGGATGCTGGGAACTGTAGTCAGACATCTATGAAGGGCACTGGTGTTAGTGTGGAGTGTAGCCCAGGCAGGGGGGAAAAATCTTGCAGGTGCAGCGCAGGGGATAGAAGGGTAAGGGAGAATTTTGAAGTGGATCCAAAGGCAAAGTTGCCTTTCTGATCTCTGCCCAGCAGCTGGGAAAGGGAGATGGGACTGCTGAGTCCTACCGCACAAAGCGTGAACCCCGCAGCATCGTCCTCGACATCCCGCCCTCTGTTTGGAGCAGTCTGCACTGGCAGATCATCCCACACGACCCTGCAGTAGGGATCAGCTTCCTCCTGCCAGAGCTGCTGATCACCATCACCACAGATGTGTCCAAGACAAGCTGGGAGCACACTGTGGCGTCCTGCAAACCCAGGGGCCCTGGGACCACCGAGAAGCCAGCCAACGCATCGGCCTCCTGCCTGTCCACAAGGGCTAATCTCATTGCAAACCGCCCTGCACAGTCCAAATGTGCAGACGGCCTCAGACAGCACAACCAATGTGTTCCCTCTGAGCAGGCAGGGAGGCACAAGTTCCATCCCGCCCACCAGACTAGCCATGGACATCTGGGACTGGTGCATCACCAGGAACGTCACAATCCCAGCGACCCCCTGGCAGGCAAAAGCAACATCTTAGCAGATTCCCTCAGCCAAGCAATGCTTGACTCACACGAGTGGCAGCTGAGCGAGACGGTCCTCGTCAGCCTCTTTGACAGATGGAGGACCCCATCAGTGGATCTCTTCACCACATCCCCACAACATGACCTGACCCCAGCTCTCTTCCTGGGAGAAACGGAACTGGCTCCCTGGGAGATACCCTTCTTCTGCGACGGAGTGGGATCCTGTTCCACATTTTTCCTCCGTTCCCCCTAATCACCAGGGTGAACACCAATCTCAGGAAGGATGAAACAGACTCCACCTTCATCACCCCAAGGTGGCCAAGGCAGCCTTGGTTCCATTGCCTCCTCCAGCGTGCCCAGGGGAACTTCACCCATCCCCACATCACCAGGACTTCCTCTCACAGGACAAGGGCTGAGTTCTTCACCCTGGCTTTGGGACACTGAACTTCACAACCTGGGTGATTGGCCCCTACAGCTATACTGGATGCGGCCCTGAAGCCATCCACAAGAAGCTCCTGTTCAGCAAAGCGAAACACCTTCGCTAACCAGGAGGGGTACAACCCACGGCAGGCAACCATCCAGCAGATCCTACATTGCCTGCAGACACGGTTCTGGAATGGCCTGAGCATCTCTTCCATTAGAATATACCGGGCGGCCATCTCCTTCCGCCCACAACTGAAAGGACACCAGTCTTCATGCACCCTGGCACACGGATTTCTGGGGAGACTTTGCAAGCTTGCCCCACCCATTCAACCCTACATTCTGGCATGGTGGTGCTGCACACCCTCTCCAAAAGATCCTTTGTACCCGTGGCCACAATGGACTTATGCCTCCTATCCCAGAAGGTGACTTTCCTAGTGGCCAGCACATCAGCCCATTGTGCCAGTAAGCTCTACACCCCCCAGGTGGATCTGCCCTACTTGACTTTCCACAGGGAAAAGGTCCAGACGCAACCTTTCTATCCAGGGTCATCCCACTATTCCACCTCAGGGCCCTCACCTTCTACAAATCCAGAACTGAGCCATTCTGCCTTTGGCGCCAGCTGTTTTTCTGCTATGGTGGTCAGAAAAAAGGGAACCCACTCTCCTCACTGAGACTATCCAACTGGGTCTCCAGCATCATCTGCCTGGCATATGGGAAGGCACGCCTTCACCTCACCATGCCACCAAGGGCCACTCCGCACAAGTACTGGCCACATCCATGGCCATCCTCACTGGAATCCCCCTGCAGGAAGTCTGCAGAGCTGCCACATGGCCCACACCTGCAGAGTTGGCCTGGCACTAGCAAATGGTCGTTCACATGAGGACAGCCTGTTCCTTTGGCAGGGCAGTCCCCTCCTTTGTCCTGGAGAGATGACAGCACTCCTCCATTCTTCACAGGCTAAGACAGCTAGTCACCCATATGTGTGTGATGCACAGAGACCATGAAGAAGAAAGGCAGGTTGCTCACCTGTAACTGTTGTTCTTCAAATGGTCATCTGTGCACTCACACAACCTGTCCTCCAGCCCCACTTGGCGTTGCCCCCTCAGCTATTGCCCTTACTCTACAAAGACCCTTGAGATTAGACCAGCTGGTGTGTTATTCTCCTCGCCTTGGTCCAGAGATCCATGGTGGTCTCCATAGGAACTGAGGGGATGGGTGGGAGTCTTTCTGCACACTACCTGGGAACAGGAATGGGAGGGGCTCCCACCCAAATGAACGCTAAGCTATAGAAGCTTCCTGACAATAGTCCCATATGCCCATATGCGGGTTGCAAAGATGACCACTCAAAGAATGACACATTTGCAACCATGTATGTTTCTCAAGTTCTATTAAGGCACTGGAGAGATGACAAGATCCAGGACATCACACACATACCTCTAGCTCCAAACAAGTAGTCCACAAACTCATTTACTTCTCGATCAAAAGCACACAGCTGCTCCTAAAAGAAAGTAGAAGAAACCAGGAGACACATTTGTTATCTCTTCACGTGCAGAAATGTACAGCTATGGTAACTAAATGGAGCTTCAGTTTTGCGCAGAACCAACAGGCCATCTTGCAGTTTTTTAAAGAGATGGTCTCAGGAATGGTTGAACATATGAATGCTTTATGTTTATTCATTCCTGTTGCATGTTTGTGTTTGAGACAGACCAATATTCACACAGAGACAGGGCCAGTCGCTTCTCTACAACACTGAGGGCCCATGGCCTACATTTATATCAATGCACATACCCATCAACTGTAGGACTAGTCATATCCAACATTGTCATTCTGTTAATGGAAGCAGTTCCATGAATAGAACTGGGAAGGGGACCATACCCTCTCCCTAAAACCGTCTCCCACACACTAAATATCTGCTCTAGAGGGCTGGGAAAGGCACTGAAGTAGATCTTTGACCTTTGCAGTGGGGAGGAAAGAGAAAGAACACCCTTGGCACTAGAAGACTTCCATTAGTATGATGTTGGATTTAACCCATAATGTGTATGTGTGTATCTTTATACAGAGATACTTAGATAGAGCTACATCTCTATGCATGTGCATGCACACACAGAGACATTTGTGTGATTTCTATTTCTTCACAGTTGCATTTTTTCCATGTGAATCTTTTTAAAATAAAAGTGCTCTGGTATATTGAACCACTTTTTATTGGCTCTGCTTGTTAGAACGGGGTCCTCAAACTTTTCAACAGGGGGCCATTTGAAAGGCGGTGGTGGGAGGTGCGAGCTGGTGAGGTGGTGGCGGCAGGAGTGGTGAGGCGAGGCGAGTCCAACACCTCAGAGGCGGGCCGGATAAATGGGCATGGCGGGCCAGATCCGGCCTGCAGGCGGTAGTTTGAGGACCCATATGTTAGAAGTTCCGACATGATTACATAAGCATTAGCAATTTAACTTCAAAGGAAAATACTGAACATACATCCATAAAAATATATTCACAATTGGTTCTAAGACATTTACCTAGGCTCTCTTCGCACATTAGATATTTAAAGTTTTAAACATACTTTTAAAATATGAAAACAAGTTTACAAATATGTATCATGTGGGAAAAAGGGCTCAGGGGGTTGTGTCCACAACTCCCTGAACTTTAAAAATGAATAGTTTTAAGCAAGGGTCTGGACCAGGAAATGTGTAGACTCTGAAAGAACTAAGACCTTCATCTTCAGCTCACTCTTCCTACTTCTGCTTAACAAATGTGCCATTGTCCAAAGCTTTGAAAGGGTATTTTAATACATGCACACACAGAGAGAGATTTATTTTGTAAAGATCTTCATACGCAAAAATGAAAGTACAAAAATGTTTGAATTTACGATTAGGTTATGTAAGTATTATTTACACGAACTAAGCACAATGCCATTATTAAAATGAATTATAGTACTTGCAACCAAACTGTTCCATACACTCAAAGCTGAATTTTAATGAGTATGGGTGACATGTTGATCTATCACTATTTGCTGGCTGCAGAATAAGATATGAAAAAGCAGAACTGATTGGGTAAGCAAGCAAACCAACCAACCAACCAACCAAAGAACCCTTCCAAATTTATCCTTCCCTAGAAATTGCTATAGTCATACCTTGTAACTTCACAAAATAATGACCCGGGCCGGGAAATCCCCAGCTCACACCTCACCTCTGCCTGACATTCTGTAGTTGACCTTAAGCAGACCATTTCCATCAGCTACTAAGGGCTTACCTTATAAGGTTGTTGTAAAGGTTACAGGTGGGTAAAGCATGTGAAGTTACTTGAAAGCTCCATACAAATATTAAGCATTATTATGATGGTGCTGCAGTCCTGTCCCTGCTTACTTGGGCATGCATAGCATGGAATATAGTAAGAATTAATCTGACTAAACATGCGTGGGAGAAATGAACAGCACAACACGCTTTCTTGCTACCCAATGTTTTGCAAGCACTTTATAAGGCTTTTTATTATTTTGGAGTGGAGGGTTTTATCTGGGGTGGAATTAGCATTCTAACCATTTTATTTGTTATTGCAATCCTTGGAATATGAAGGTGAAATAAAAATACTTTCACCCTATAAATGTCTATTCATAAATAAGTCCTCCTTGATTCAAAGGGTTTATTCCCAATTAAGTGTGTCTCAGATTAGCTTAAACAAATATTATGGGATGGGGTTTCCACCTGTTTGTTTGTTTGTTTTCTGGATTGTTCATATTTTGAAACTTCCATTTATAATAAACTCAGAAAGTTTGTGTTTGCTTCCAGATAGCAGTGTGCTTTATTGATCTATTCTCCAAAGTTAATAACAAAATATAATAATAATGGAAAAACATGTATTGTTTTTTCCATATAGGCATGTATGCTTATCACTTGATAATTTGCATGTGTGAATAAACCATGATAGGCCTGATATCATACCAGAGACAAAACCTCCTTGCTACCCAATGTCAGTTCAAGTGCAATAGCTTTCAGTGGAGCCATTTCAGCTGCCAGGCATCAAGTACTGAATCATCCTAATGGGAAATTAAGGGATACAAGACCTTTATAACTAGGACTGTGGCATTCATAAGAAGACCTTTGATATTTTGGTCCATTGATACAGTGCCTACATTTTCCATAAGCGGCAGAGTTAAAAGTGCAACTTGAAATTGGAATTTAGGACCAAATTGCCTGCTGAAACGTTACTTTGCTGTGCCCCACCTCTAGCAGTTCCTTCAGATAAAGTACTTCCCTTCCAAGAGAGGGAATTCCAATATATTATCCACGTGAAGGCCCCATGCAGTTTATGTTGCCATGTTCAAAGCTAGAGCTTTGCAAATTTCTGCACGATAAACTTCCTCACAAGACACCTTGAGACTTGGCTTCTCCCCCACCCCAGCCTTTCCCAGTCTTCCCCTCCACTTTACTGAGCAGGCCTCCAGGTGTGCCACATGGTAGTGAGGCTAAAAGGGGCTGGACTTCAGCACCAAGCAAGTGATGGTGTGAGAAGCTCCTTGTTCCCTACTGCATAAGGAACAATAAAATCCTGTCTCCAGCTCTCATCCCAGGGTTAACCTGCAGCTCAGCAAACCTTGTAGTTGCTTGGGGTAACTTGACCTTCATCTCCACAGGAAAACTCATACAGAAGTTCCTTGTCAGGGAAAGAAAACCTTTAAGAGATGATACTGCAAAGCTGAACTTGCATACTACTTCCCACAGTATTCCATCCTGTCAAAAAGCATTCAGAAAAAGAATCCCTGCCCCATGTAGAGTAATTCCCTGGAGCTGGAAAGCATGAATCTTAGGATAGGCCAGAAATAAGACAGGTGTTTCAGAAGAAATTTGGCAGATGTGTCTGCCATTCTGGAGCTCAAGTCTGTTAATCAATTTCAGAGCTAATGAAGATTTATGGAACACTATGGAACAAATGTTATGTAACAGCTGAACTGTTTCTCACATGAGTGAGCATGTAATATCTTCCATGATATGCATGAAAGAAAAGAGATGGGGAGAAGTAGAAACATTAAGAAATATCTTTTTGGACTCTTGTGCCAGCCACATAACTCAAAATGTGTCACATGCTATTAAGATTAAGGTATTATGTGCTCTCTAAATGTGCGTGAACTTTTCTTAAATTTGTACACATATATAGTCAAACCTTTTCTGCCTGTTTTTCTGCCTAAGTGCAGTTGAGTATAATTCTTACCCCTCTCTGAATTTAAAAGGAAACCATATTAAATGTGTCATTCTTTGTACGCAGAATACAGCAAAGCAGAGCTATAAAGTTCCATTTGTGTCTCAATTTTAGTGATTAATCAAGGCTGAAGTAAGTGAGGCTTGTCTTTTCCTTTGAAACACTTCTGCATTGTAATATGTATAGCAGGATTCTGCAGACAAAATATGTTCCTGTATAGCAGGGGTCTCAAACTCAACTTACCTGGGGGCCACTGGAAGTAGAGTCTGGGTGAGGCTGGGCCGCATCAAGTATTCCACCACCGCCGTGGTGGTGGGCCGCTCATCCCACGTCGCTCCCGGAGGCTGGCCCAGGCGCTGGCGGTGCTTTGAAGGCCACAGGGCCCCTCCCCCGTGCCCTGCCCGTCCCGGCAATTGGCCCGTGGGCCGCTAGTTTGAGACCCCTGCTGTATAGGGAACCTATATTCTACACACAAAAGCATGTAATTTAAAATTACATTTTAAGTAAAGTCTATCATTTATGTTTTAATGAACACTTCGTTAATAGCCCCTTGAGGAGGCAAGGCCAGGCCCAAACACTTTGCCACCCGAAGTGAAGCTCAAGAAGGTCCCTGAATATCCCCCACACACTTTTGACTGTATATGCAAATTCCCGGCTGAGCATAAGGGGAGGCACAGTTGAAGTGTTCCAACAGGCTGCCTGCCACTGCCTCACATCCACCCTCCAGAGAGAAAGAGGCACCCAACATCCCCAGTGCTGCTACTTTACAGACACAAAAGACTCTGCCTTGTCCTCTGAAACAGGAAATGGCGCACACAGATCTAGAGGATGTCACCCTTGGCTAGGAGACAGAGGGGCAAGACATGCTTTTCTTCTGGTATCCCCAAGCCCTGGGGTTTCAGTGTGCTTCCTTACCCTTTGGCAGAAGCCCAGGCTTGGGGGCAATGCAGAGCAGGGACTTTACTAGCATTTCTATTTCCAAAATGTCTGTTCTGGACCAAGCTTGAGAGGCGGTGATGGCTATGTCAGTGGGGCTGCTTATCCATTGCAGCCTGTATCCTGAGCTTCACAGGAGCTACTCATGGTGCTTCATGGTAGTGAACCTGCTTGGGGAAATGAGTTCAGCACCATGGATAGTTCCAAAGAAGCACCGACTCTCCTCTGGGCCTAGAGGTGTACTTGCAAACCAAAAACAGCAGGCTGGTGCATTTTGTTTTAGTGTAGCCAACCACTTCTGAGCAAAACAAGCAAGAGAAGCCAACACGGTAAGCTGAAGAGGGCAGGTAGCAACTTCAAGACCTGGGCAGCCATGCTGGGGATGTTCTAAGAAGCTGTCCAGGATGGACAGCTGCAGAGGGTAACAGGAAACAAGGTGAATGTTATATCACTGTGTACACTTATTTATTCATTTTGGAGAACTGTCAGGGGGTGTATATACGCATGTTGTTTGATTTTTTCCCTTGCTTGTCCACCTCCCTTCTCCCTGCACACTTGCACACGTGAACACACACACCACTTGCTGAGGAACATGAGTTGGAAGGGTGCCACTGCAAAGTACTGGATTGGACAGGCCTTTGGTACAGCTCCTTGTATATTCTTACACTTACTACACTATTTTTGCAATAACTTTTAACTTTAATTAACACACATTCAAATGGAGATTATAGAGAATATAATCATAATTTAATAATTGTTTTGATTCATTTTTCCCTGTATCAGAAGGCTCAGTGCAGAATAAACTTATCATGAATATACTGTTCTGGTTAAACTGGGAGATCAGGCTAATAGCCCTATATGTCTGTTACTATCACATTGATATGACTCTCATGTGTTGTAATTATGGTGTATCATATTGCTCTTAAAACTGTTTAAAACGTGTTTTAATTATATTTTTAATATTTACATAGCAGCCACTTAGGAATTTTAATAATTTGGTTAGTGCTATATAATAGTAGAAATAACAATAAAATAAAGGGAATAATGAAGCAATGATCTGCCAGGAAGACAGAGCTGTGCAGAGGCAGATGACTTGGCATCTTTAATCCTCAGTCAATGGCCTCGCTGGCTGCTGCTTGTTTGAATTTTAAGGCAAAGGTTGTCCCTCCGTTAGGCATCTTCTTCTTTCATATTTGCTGCACAAGCATAAGCTTTCCTATTGCTTGTGTGCTAAGGGCAAATTTGGCAGACAGGGGAATGTGTACACAATGATGTCACCATCACTAGTATCAAGGTAAAGAGGAAAGTCCTTTTTTGTACAGAAGTTGAGGGATATTGGAGTCCCTGTGTGTATACAGGGAGCTGCTGGAGGAAATGTTCACAGCTAGAGGGAAAAAATGACGAGTTCATTTCTGCCCCACGTTCAATATTCGAGGACCAATTGTACCCGTTTGGGCTGCTACATTTACCTGAAGGGATACTGCATTAAGGTAAGGGTGTTCAAATGAACAGTACTGTCATAGGCCAAGAATCAAGACAAAAGTGTAGAATAAAAGGTGGAGCAGATGGTAGATCTTCAGAAGTTTTGGACTTC